AAGACTCCATAGAATCATAGACTTGGAAGAGACCTCCTGGGCCATCACCCAGTCCAACCCCATTCTGCCAAGAAGCAGGACAATCGCATTCAAAACACCTCCAACAGATGGCCATCCAACCTCTGCTTCAAAGCCTCCAAAGAAGGAGCTTCCACCACACTCCAGGACAGAGAGTTCCACTGCTGAACAGCTCTCACAGTCAGGAAGTCATGACAGATAGCCATCCAGCCTCTGCTTCAAAGCAAAGAAGGAGCCTCCACCACACTCCAGAGCAGAGAGTTCCACTGCTGAACAACTTTCACAGTCAGGAAGTTCCTCCTCATGTTCAGGTGGAATCTCCTTTCTTGTAGTTTGAAGCCAATGCAAAGATACAGGACTTCCCCTCACATATTTACACATGGCCATCATGTCTCCTCTCAGCCTTCTCTTCTCCAAGTTACCTTTCACACATAGGTCTGTTGTAGAACCAGGCATCGCCTATCTTTGCATTTGCATTTGAAATCTCTTGGGAAGCCTGGTGGATGAATGTCAGCGTGCTGGAAGAAGCAAAGGCTACTAGCATTGAAGTGATGGTCCCCTGACATCAACTTTGCTGGACTGAATGCCACGTTGTCTGAATGCCCGAAGATCGCAGTTACTCTACTCCGAACTCAAGAACGGGAAATGTAATGTTGGAGGACAGGAAAAGAGACTGAAAGATGGGCTTAAGGCCAACCTCAAAAACTGTGGCATAGACACCGAGAGAGAACTGAGAAGCCCTGGCCCTTCAGCGCTTTGACGGGAGTTCAGCTGTGACCAGCAGTGCTGCAGAATTCAAAGAGGCATGAATGAAGAGCGAAAGGGGGAAACGTGCCAAGAGGAAGGCGCGTCAAGCCAACCCCGACCGGGACCGCCTTCCACATGGAAACCGATGTCCTCACTGTGGAAGAACATGCGGATCAAGAAGACGGCTAGTAAGTAAGTAAGTATTTCATTTCCCTCCAAATTTGGTCCCATCTGCAAACTTGATATACACATATACACATATAAATACACACATATACACATATATACACATATAAACAGCACCCCATCTTTAAAGAATATGTTTTAAAGGTGGAGAATGGTAAGAGAACTCTTTTCTTTGGCCAAGACATGACTTTTCTGTCTGGCAATTCACATGCTTGGAAGACGGTGCCAGCCGAAAGAAGGGGGTGCACGCAGGTGCTCACATTGGGGCTGCCATGTGCCGGTTCTCCTGAGTGCAACTAATCCCTCCGAGAAGCGGGAGCCTCCTCAGGGGCGTCTGGGACACTCAGGTGCTGCCCTTGGGCTCTGCCAAATCTTTCCCTCGGAGAAGTTTCCCTGCCTGCCTGCCTGCCTTTCTTCCTTTCGACTGCAGAACGGACAAGGTTTTTGTTGAGAGAGCTGGAGGGGCTCCAAAGAATGCTTCTGACGTGATAAATAAATAAGTTGCTATCTAGCCACCAAGAATGACAATATTATAGAGACATCATGATTCTGACAAGCTGGAGCACATCCAGGTCCAAATCTGGGGAGAGCATGGATGAGCTCCCTCTGTCAGCTCCAGCTCCCCATGTGGAGACATGGGAGAAGCCTCCTACAAGGATGGCCAAACATCAAAACATCGACCCGGGTGGTGCAATGGTACCGGCAGGACTGAAGACCAACAGGTCAAAGGTTCAAATCTGGGGAGAGCATGGATGAGCTCCCTCTGTCAGCTCCAGCTCCCCATGTGGAGACATGGGAGAAGCCTCCTACAAGGATGGCCAAACATCAAAACATCGACCCGGGTGGTGCAATGGTACCGGCAGGACTGAAGACCAACAGGTCAAAGGTTCAAATCTGGGGAGAGCATGGATGAGCTCCCTCTGTCAGCTCCAGCTCCCCATGTGGAGACATGGGAGAAGCCTCCTACAAGGATGGCCAAACATCAAAACATCGACCCGGGTGGTGCAATGGTACCGGCAGGACTGAAGACCAACAGGTCAAAGGTTCAAATCTGGGGAGAGCATGGATGAGCTCCCTCTGTCAGCTCCAGCTCCCCATGCAGGGACATGAGAGAAGCCTCCCACAAGGATGGTCAAACATCAAAACATCTGGGCAACGACTCCTGGGCAACGTCCTTGCAGATGGCCAATTCTCTCACACCAGGAGCCACTTGCAGTTTCTCAAGTCTCTTCTGACACGACCAAAAATGATTCCAATGCATTGATTTAGAATCCAAATGGTTAAAGGATTGGTTGAACATAGGAGGCCCGATTTTCTGGGGAAAGTTGACTCATATCACCAACTGGAATGAGTCTCGGGGCAGTCGTACCGGTCTGGTAATTTCAATGTTTGTGTATCACACAGAGAGGGAAAGATGAAAAGTTGTGGTCGTTATCAGTGTTTCTCCAACTGGCCTCTCGGCATCCTCCGAGGAGAGGACAATGTGGATTAGTCAAGGCGGAAGATCTCAAGAGTTGCCGTTGATGATGAATTATGAGCATCCTTTCCGTTTGTGTCCTGGGGAGGACCCCGTTTCCAGAAGGGTCACCCGCCCACCGCGCTCCAGGAAGCAGTAGCCGAGCACCGGGCTTCTGCCGCGAGAAGCAGACCAAGACAATCTCCTCTCGCATCTGCTTCCTGTTGTCTGGAGAGATATCGGCAACTCGCTTTGTGGTCTGAGATGGACCTGCTCTTCTCTGTGTCGAGGCAGAAAAATGTGACTGTTTCAAAGTGGGGGAAAGAGCCTTGCGTAAATGGAAGGGAATATTCCCTGGATTTGGCATTGCTCTTTGTTGCCAAGTTGAATTTTGGTTTGGGTTTATTGTCAAAGGCTTTCATGGCTGGAATCACTAGGTTCTTGTAGGTTTTTTCGGGCTATAGGGCCATGTTCTAGAGGCATTTCTCCTGACGTTTCACCTGCATCTATGGCAAGCTTCCTCAGAGGTAGTGAGGTCTGTTGGAAATAGGACAATGGGTTTCTATATCTGTGGAATGGTTGGGGTGGGGCAAAGAGCTCTTCTCTGCTGGAGCTAGGTGTGAATGTTTCAACTGACCACCTTGATTAGCATTTAATGGCTTGGAAGTGCCTGGGGGGAATCTTTTATTGAGAGTGATTTGATGTGCCTGGTTGTTTCCTCTCTGTTGTTTTGCTGTTGTAATTTTTGAGTTTTTTAATACTGGCAGCCAGATTTTGTTCATTTTCATGGTTTCTTCCTTGTCAGAGCTTTATATTGTTTAGATCATTTCTTAAGTGAAAAATGGGTAAGTGATTGTAAGAATCATGTCCAGTCACTGTATGGCCAGCAACAGTCAAGCCACCTGTGAAAGCTTAGGTACTACAAATTGAGAGACTGAGAAGAGAGAAGAGAAGGAGTAGAGAATAGAGAATGGAGATGATGATGAGATGAGAGACTGTGAAGAAAGCAAGAGCAAGAGGAAGAGGAATAGATTTCTGTAAAAGCTCAAGGAAGGTTTGCTGGAATATTGGGATCGATGGATTGAAACTGTTATTTGTGACTATTGCATAAACATTTCTTTATTGGAAGAGAGTTTGTCTTCTGTTGATTGTATTCCGAAAAAGGGGTTTGGATGCTTGAGGTCAGCCCCAACTTCAAAGCAGCAGCACCATAGCTGCGACATTCCTTTCTGTTGAAATTGTCCACCTGTTTCTTGTGGATTTCAATGGCTTCTCTGTGTAGCCTGACATGGTGGTTGTGAGAGTGGTCCAGCATTTCTGTGTTCTCAATTCATATGCTGTGTCCAGGTTGGCTTGTCAGGTGCTCTGCTATGGCTGACTTCTCTGGCTGAAGTAGTCTGCAGTGCCTTTCATGTTCCTTGATTCATGTTTGGGTAAAGCTGCATTTGGGGGTCCCCATGAAGACTTCTTGTCCACAGCTGCATGGTACACGGTAGACTCCTGCAGAGGTGAGAGGATCCCTCTTGTCCTTTGCTGAACGGAGCATTGGTTGGATGTTCTTGGTGGGTCTGTATGCTGTGTATTTTTTTATTTGAGAACACAGAAAGGCTGGACCACTCTCACAACCACCATGTCAGGCTACACAGAGAAGCCATTGAAATCCACAAGAAGCATGTGGACAATTTCAACAGAAAGGAAGAATCCATGAAAATGAACAAAATCTGGCTACCAGTATAAAGACCTCATGGGCCATCCAGAGACCTCATGGGCCATCCAACCCCTTTCTGCCAAGAAGCAGGACAATCACATTCAAAGCACCCTCAACAGAGGGCCATCCAACCTCACTACCTCTTAGGATGCTTGCCATAGATGCAGGCGAAACATCAGGAGAGAATGCCTCTAGACCATGGCCATATAGCCCGAAAAAACCTACAACAACCCATCCAGCCTCTGTTTAAAAGCCCAAAGAAGGAGCCTCCACCACACTCCGGGGCAGAGAGTTCCACTGCTGAACGGCTCTCACAGTCAGGAAGTTCTTCCTCATGTTCAGATGGAATCTCCTCTCTTGTAGTTTGAAGCCATTGCTCCATTGCGTCCTAGTCTCCAGGGAAGCAGAAACAAGCTTGCTCCCTCCTCCTCCCTGTGGCTTCCTCTCACATATTGATACATGGCCTTCATCATATCTCCTCTCAGCCTTCTCTTCTTCAGCTAAACATGCCCAGCTCCTTAAGCCGCTCCTCATAGGGCTTGTTCTCCAGACCCTTGATCATTTGAATCGCCCTCCTCTGGACACATTCCAGCTTGTCAATATCTCTCTTGAATTGTGGTGCCCAGAATTGGACACAATATTCCAGATGTGGTCTAACCAAAGCAGAATAGAGCATGGGGAGCATTACTTCCTTAGATCTAGACACTAGGCTCCTATTGATGCAGGCCAAAATCCCATCAGGAGAGAATGCCTCTAGACCATGGCCATATAGCCTGAAAAAACCTACAACAACCCATCCAGCCTCTGTTTAAAAGCCTCCGAAGAAGGAGCCTCCACCACACTCCAAGGCAGAGAGTTCCACTGCTGAACAGCTCTCACAGTTACGAAGTTCTTCCTCATGTTCAGATTTCCTTCCTTGTGGTTTGAAGCCATGGCTCCATTGCGTCCTAGTCTCCAGGGAAGCAGAAAGGAAGCTTGCTCCCTCCTCCCTAGGACTTCCTCTTTCACAGATTTTCTTGTTTCGGGGGCATCAAAAATGATGGATGCTGTGCAGAGATGAATCAGAAAGAGCTGCACGGTGAAGCCAGGTTGGCCCCCAATGCCTCCTCCTCCTCCTCCTCCTCCTTCCGCCCCATGGCAGGGGTTATATCTCATCCGCTGATGTGTGAGAGAAGGAGACCAAAGAGAAGGAGGGAGACAGATCTTATCGGGCCTTCAAAAGGTTCCTTTGCTGATCCATCTTCTGTCATGTGGCCCCTTCCTTTGGCCAGAGCCTGCTTGCTTGGACACGCTGCCTGCCGGGTCTCCCTGCCTGAGAGTCCCTCGGGCAGGTGGGCGGCTGCTTTGTCCTCTTTTTTCCAGACTTATTTCCTGACTGAAGGAAGACAGGTGACGGCAAAGGATGAGCCCAGGCTGCCCTTGCCTTTGGGGCGCTTTTCCTGCCTGCCGACATTCACCAGCCCACTGCCATGCTTTGCAAATGGTGGGCTTTATAACTCCTAGGACAGTGTTCCTCAACCTGGGGATTGGGACCCCTGGGGGAGTCGTGAGGGGGTGCTAAAGGGGTTGCCAAAGTATTTTCTGTTGCTAATGGGAGTCCTGTGTGCCAAGTTTGGTTCAATTCCATCATTGTTGGAGTTCAGAATGCTCTTTGATTTTAGGTGTACTACAAATCCCAGCAACGACAACTCCCAAATGTTAAGGTCTATTTTCCTCAAACTCCTCCAGTGTTCACATTTGGGCATGTTGAGTATTCATGCCAAGTTTGGTCCAGATCCATCATTGTTTGAGTCCACTGGATGTGTTTGGTTCAATTTCATCATTGGTGGAGTTCAGAATGCTCTTTGATTTTAGGTGAACTATAAATGCCAGCAACGACAACGCCCAAATTTCAAAGATCCACATGTTGGAGAGTGGGGGGGACACAAGTTTGTTCCGCAAAAGCGTAGAGGTGAGTCGCTGGCGCTGAAGGAAGTATCGTCGGAAAACGGGGAGGAGGGCGGAGGTCGTCACTCGGAAGGAGGAGGGCTAAATTGTGGGAGCCGGGTCTAGAAGCCCTGCTCGAGGGAGAACGAAATGCTCTCCGACTCTAACCGCATACGGCGGTATTTTGCTGTGGCTTTGCGTTCTGTGGAAACTGCGTACCGCGGTTCGCCGCGCGAGGGAAGCGCGACGTTGTAGAGTCGGTTCGTGTCTTCCTCCCTCTTTGTCTGCACTCTGCGCCTACGGGGGAAAAGTGGAGCA